CGAACGGGAGACTGCAAAGGTCACTTGTGGGAAAAAGGGCTGGAGCCGAGCGCGGGTTCGGGATCAAACGTGAGTGACGCGGCTTGGAGGGGCACAGGGCCTCGGAGGCCGCTACACACGCTGCCGTGGGGTCTTGTCGCCACTGTGTTTTTGCCTTTTAGTTTAAAAAGACACATAGTTTTAAAAATAAAAAGTCCATATTGGTGATTAGGTTCATGAGGGTGCTTGTGAGCTTTCCCCTCCCCGTCCCGCTGTCAGGCTGGGTTGGGGCCGTCCGCCCACGCTGCCGCCCTCGCCTCATGGGCAGCCTCACCCTGAGGTGTTTCTGTGGCTGTTTGGGTGCTTTGCTGCAGATTTCCCCTTTATCTTTGTGCTAAAAACAAACACCTTTATGCTCTAGGTGGGCCTAGTCCAAGGGTTTTAGTGTGAAAGTCAAAGTGTGTGCGGCCTGCTGGCGGCCATTTCGGGCAGGGCGCTGCAAGAGGATACTCGCAGGGGGTGATTTATGGCAGCGGGCTTCTATCTCAGCGGCGTGACGGAGCTTTTCATAGCATGACATGGCATGCGATGCCATACATTGTTTTGATTTTACAGTAGAAGTAGTCCCATCTGCTTCAATTATGAATTTGTGACTCACTGAGGAGAACTGACGGAAAACGAGGTCTGCTGTGGAAGCAGAAGCGGGCAGTGTTCGGGGACGTGGGCGCTGCTGCCATGAGACTGATGTTGTAGCACACACTGGAGCCTCCTGCAGCACCCCGATGGTTTTAGGGCTGTGTTGGGCCTTGTGTGCACTCACGTGAGAGGACGGGGCTGGAAACGCAAACAGAGCTTGGCAGTGTCTGTCTGGAACAGACACAGGGTCCGATTGTGTCCCGAAGACGTGCATCTGATGCATCACATGGCTGCTTTCACCCCCGGTGTCTGGGCTCGTGTTGTGTGCAGACCTCAAGAACAGCTTTTCTACCACACATTCATCCCTAGGCACAGGATGAAGCCTCTCAAGTCTTCCTGGAGACCTTTGTGCTCAGGATGGGGTCCGAGACCCCGGCAGCACCCACAGATGCCGGCTTTGACCTCAGGTACCGTTTCCTTGCCGAGCCCAACACGTTACATGACCCATCCTGAGCTCCTGCTTGCTGAAGTCTTTGCAGCAGAAACCAGCAGAGAGGTGGTTGCATTAAAAAAAAGCAACTTTTGGTGAAAGGATTTGCAATAATGAAGGTTCCCGTGCTCAGGGGGCTGGGAGCTCCAGCCACGCTTATTTTAATCCGTGTCTGTTCTCCTGGCTGCCTTGGCACGCGGGCCAGGCCGTGCGGCACTTCCTCAGCGGCTCCTGCCAGATCCCCGACGCACTGACAGACTCCACGGTGGCAGCCAAAAGCGGCTGTGTGTGCTGCTTGAAAAGAAAAACACCGAAATAAATAAAAAATAATAATAAAAAAAACACAAGCAAAGGATTGCTGGGCTTGCCATCCGCTTCCACGTTTCTGACGACCAGGAACTTCGTGGGGCTGCTGCCTGCCTCGCGGATAAATTATTTGCTCAGCTCTTCGAGGGTGTTATTGATGTGCGGCTTTTTATTATGGTGCCAACGACAGCAAGTTGCCACATGCTGACTGCACGCTGTAAATCGCTCCGTGTCAAGTCCCGGTGCAGAAAAAGGGCCACCGGGCGTCACGGGTCCCATCTGCGGCAAGGTCCCAGCCTGCTCCATCTTCCCAGGAAGATGCTCGAAGGGTTTTCCCCACCACCACGGTCCTGTTGAAGGTTTTCAGCAGCTCAGGACAACCTTGGCCGTGCCATCAATGCGCTGTGCGCCGTGCAGCTGCGGCAGCTCCAGCCAGGGAAAGGACTCTCGGGGCCGTGCCAGGAACAGAAACGAGCCCGTCGTCCTCCTCTTCAGTTTTGCTCCATTTCACTGATTTTTTGGCAAACGCCGCCTCAACGGGACGTGACTGTGCAAAATATAGCCCTGGACAAAGCGCCGTTGACTCATTTGGAACGCATTCTGCTTTCTCGAGCCATTTTCCACAGCTTCCTTTTCTGCGAGCGAGGGGGCTGGCAGCCCAGGGCAGCTCGCCGCTCACTCCCGCGTCCGTGTACCCTCGCGCAGATGTTTCCTGGCCCTGCGGCCGCAGGATCCCCTTTGGCACAGCCTCCTCCCTGGCCCCTCCGGCGTGGGCTGTGGGCGCTTCTGCTGGAGCATCCTTGTGTCCTTCGGCACAAGGACACGTGGGGGAACCACCACGTGAGTTAAAGCAGGAGAAGTCGGGTGGGAAAGCTCGGCTGGAGCAGGTTGCCACTGCGGTGGGCTCTCAGGGGAATGACAAATCCCACAGAAAGCTTTTTGTAAGAGAAATTCAAGAAATCCTGCAGCTTTACCGGCCCTGACTTCAGTGAGGATTTTTAGCGGGTTTCCACCACGGAGCCCTTCAGGGGCAAAGCCCTGAGCTGCGGGATCCCCGCTCTGCCCTGCGGGGACGGGGCCGTGGGCATGGCAAGCGGGGCACGAAGGGAATCTGTGCAGCGCCCCGAGCGAGCGTGTTTCTCTACTGGTCGGTGTCTGTGAGGGAAAATATTCGTTCTTGGCAGGAAACGAGGATTTCCTCCAATTATCATCCTGAATGGACACCGAGCCGAGCGTGCGGGATGCTGGGCACGGGTGGGATGGAGGAGCCCCGCTGAGCGCCGCCGCTCGCCAACTTCGTGCATCTCCCCGCCTGCTTTCTGCCTCCTGGCTTTTGGGGTTGCGCCTCTTCTGCGTTTCCCTGGGGCTGTGCAGCACCAGGGGGATTCCTGCCGAGGGCTCTCGCAGCGCCTTTTGACTTTTGCATCGATGGAAACCCACAAAAAAAACTCACTGCGGCTGGGGCAGCTCCAGAGCTCCAGAGACAAGAGTAAAACTGCGAGTGGAACTGGAGGAACAATCCCAGTCCCAAAGGCAGCGTTAATGCTAAAGACTCAATCAAAGCTGCCTTCTTGTTTTTTCTTTTTTTTTGTTGTTTTTCTTTTTATTACTGTGGTGTGAAGCAACTTGCTGGGATAACAGATATCCCTTAGCCTGCTCGTTGAGAGCTGTGTTTCACACCAAGCAGAATAAAAGCAGAATTGGCTGCGAAAGCTGTAGACCTTCCCGCAGCACCCCCACGGACAGCTATTTACAAGAGCAGCCACTATTGTAAAATTAGGATCAGGGACGTGTAAATATTTCTTTTTGTTAAGGGGTGAGCCCTCCCCTGGCTGGCCGGGCCCCCAGGACTTGTTTGGCAGCAGGAGGAGGTGGGTGGCTGCTCTGAGTCACTGCTGGGCACCCGCACATGATTTTGGGGTCAGAAATACCCAAGGGGTGGCCCCGGCTATCCGGGATGGAAATGTTCCTCCACTTCTTCCCCTTGCCGTGAGCTCAGCAGCACCCTGGAGCTGGAGCCGTGCCCGCCGGCAGCTCAATGCCTCGATAGATACCCGCGGAAAAAAAAAAAAACGTGGATGGGTTTGAGGCTCCTGACACAGCACCCGGGCCTCTTCCCCAACCTATAACCCAGCTCCGGCCCCGCAGCAGGCGTCCAGGGCTCCGTTTGCATTTCGTCTCCCCTATAACTGCCTCCTGTGTTTTCCCTCCTCAGGTATTTCGGCCGTGCCTTCCCCGGCACTTCATCCATCACCCAGAGCCCGGGTGTCAGCCCCGCAGCCCCCGGCGCCGCTGTTGGTTTTGGAAGCGGGGGCTGGCAGCGCTCAGCCTCGGGGGGAGGCAAAAAACCCTAAAACCAGCCCCGGGGAGAGATCGGCCTGGGGATAAAGCGTGAGGAAGCGGTGAGGTGGCCGGGATGGGGACACTCGGCGAGCCCTGTGTGAGCTCTCGGCTCCCTGAGGGTCGTTCCCAGCTTTCTGCAGAAACTGCAGAGCCCAGCGCGCTGACGGGAGGTGGTGACGGGTGGGCAGGTAGGGCTTGGGATCGCTGACAGCTCCTAGGGTCGCACCTCCGCGGGGAAAATTGCGGCAATGACCTGGCAGGGGTGGAAAAAAAACGGTAATAAAATAAAAAGGGGTGGTGCAAAAGCCATCCCCAAGCGTTTCACCGCGAGGCTCACGGGTGTGCTAATATTTATCCTAGCGCAGGCACCGGGGGCGCCTTGTTTGAGGGAGAAGCGTGTCGGGGAAAAACTCACAGTGGGTTATTTGATGAGGGGAAGAGTTTCACGAAGGAGCGTTCCCGAGGAATTTCTCCAGCTCTCTCGCTCTCGGGGCTGCCAGCATTCAGCCTGCACCCCTCCCGTACGGGCAGAGGGAAGGAAAAAACGATGGGAACCTGCTCCAAAACCTATGGAAAAGGATGGATGTGGGGGGGTGGAGCAGTTCCTGCAGCTCCTGCCCCCCCAAATCCCGAATAAAACCTGGGGTAGGCAGCTCGGCGGCTCATTTCAGGAGGTCAAAAATGTCTCAGTTGTGTCTTTGGGTGGTTTTTCAGAACCCAGCGGGGTGTCTGGGTCCCTGCGTGTGGTCCTTGGGGTCTGTGGCTGCCCTTTGTGCCCACCTCCTCTCGACGGGGCACGGGGCAGTGCCGGCACCGGGTTAGCAGAGGGAAGAAATGACCTTCGGGAAGCGCCAGGGCTTTATTTGTGAACGGGATTTGCACTTGGGAGTGCGCTGTTGACTTTCAGGATCCCTGGGCTTTGAAGTGCCCACATCACTTTTGGAAACACGCTTGCAGGTTTCTCTTTAAGTGCCTCGAAAATGCCTCTCGTGGCCTCAGGTCTCCTCCGGGTGCGGTGGCTTGGCCATTGCCCAGCCTGCGGCTCTCTGCGGGAAGCCTCCGGGGAGGCAGCTCGTGCTCAGGGTCTGGAAAAGTCCAAAATTTGGCCAGTCCCTGCCTCACCTTCTGCTACAACCCGTTTTACCGCAGTGCTTCGCTCAGCCTAGAGCCCAAAGCTCTAGGATCCTTTTGGGGTCCCTTCTTGCACCCGTCTCATCCTCCTCTCTCTCTCCTCTTGCTCCTGCAGAACCGCCAGGCCTTCAACAGCCTCAGCACCGCGGCGGAGGACGGCGCCCAGCGGCTCTCCGGCCCCGTGGAGGTGATGCCGGGCAGGACCCCCGCCTGCACCCCGGTGCCGGAGCCGCGCTCGCAGGGCTCGGAGCGCCGGGGGAGCCGGGACGAGCTCTCCTGCGAGGAGTCCGACTGCGGCGCGGCCGAGGACGAGGGCGGAGGGAAGGAGGAGGACACGGAGCCCTGGCGAGGCGGCGGGGCGGGCGCCGAGAGCCCCTTCCAGCTGGGTGGAGAGCTGGACATCGAGCAGATCGAGAACAACTGAAGGGCGAGGGGACGGCAGCGAGGGGGCCCTTCAGTTGTGGGGTGGCCGGCAGGGCGCCCCGACGCTCTCCCCGGGGTCGGCGGCCTCCTGCCGCCAGCCGGCGGGGGCGAAGCAGCTTTGCCAAAATTTCATCAGGTATTTTAGAGCAACGGCGTGTGTGTGTGTGCGTGCGCGTGCGTGTGTAAATCTTGAAATCCCTTCTAACTACTGTAGCCAGCTATCAGCGAGTGCCCGTCGGGCTCTGGGGGTGAGGTGTGGAGATGTGCAGGACACTCGCAGCTCTCTCTGCTGGGCTCTGCACCGGCGAGGAAACAATTCCTGTAGGCGTCGGGCAGCGGCTGAGCTTTGCCGAGCAGGAGATGCCCGGGGATCCCCAGCCTCTGCTCCTGGGGAAGGTGCCGGGTGCCGAAGTGAAGCCGTCCCCATCCCACACGGCCCCGTCCCTCCCTGCCAACCCAACCCTCCCGTCCCTGGCAGTGCCGTCGGATGGAAGCCACGAATCCTTGGCTGAAATTTGATAATGGGAAGAGCTGGATTTTTTAAAATTTTTATTATTTTTTTTTAATTTTCCCGATGAGGAGCTCATGGGCTGCCTCACCCCCGCCACCCCAGCAGCGCCCGGCTGCCTTCCTGCCGTGCTTTTTTTTTTTCTTCCCAGCCCTTCTCTCATCCGCTGGGACCCCCGGGGGTAGCGCACCCGTGAGGTGTGTCCGTGCCCGGTGCCGTGGGATTACTTGATGACAGGACGCTGCCAAAATGCTGAAATTTCAGGTAGCAGCACTGAAAGCTTTCCCTGTGCCTTTTGGAAGCACAGACAAAGTGGCGACCGTGCCGTGTGTGCGACAGACACTCCTTGGGAAAATCAGCTGACAGCTTTAGAAGGACACCAATTTTATTTTTTATTTTTTTATTTTTGGGATCTTTTTCATTTCGGGGAACCCTCCAGCTCCTTAAAGCGTTGCTGTTAGGACCTCCTGGCTCACTTTGAGCTGTTAGGACATCCTGGCTCTCCCCACCCCACCCCGACCGACACCGTCCTGGCTTCAGGGTGGCCTCGGGCACCTCCTCAGCCAGATCCCCACCGACCAAACCCGAAAATGCCCCAGAGCCGTGGCTGCCCATCGTGTCCAGCACCACACCGTGGCGATCCTGCCTCCCGTGGGACCCAGGGCGCTCTCTTGCCTATGCACACCGGGGACTGTAACTCACAAGGGCTCCTTCTCCTCCCCAAGGGCTGCTCCCCGTGCCGTGCTCCCCCCCGGGCATTGGGAGGGTGACCAAAGGGACCTGCCCAGCCGTGCTCGATGCAGCCGTAGCACACAGTTTACATGCAGCACAACCCCTTTGCCTTACTAAAGACGCTTCCCCGGTGAGTCGTGGCCTTACCCCGGGCACGCGAGCTTGGACGCAGGCTGCAGCTCGCCTCGGTTTGTGGGCTGGGTGTTCCCTTGTCGGTGCTGGATGAGCTCATGTACTCGTTTTCAGTTTAAGAAAGCCTTACTTTTAAAAAAAGAAGTTTTTTTCTTTTTTTTTTTTTTCCCTCTCTCTCTCTTTAGAGGTTAAAAAAAAAAAAAAAAGACATTTGTGGATTTATATATATATAAATAAAATAGTGAAAAGTATCAAATATAATATAGTATGTGCCTCAGATCCAGGGGACATCCCGCTGATTGTACAGCTGGCAGCTCGGCTGCTCCTCGCCACGCGCTGGAAGCCGGGCAAGAGCCGCTCCGCGCACCAGCTGAAAAGCAGGGCACCCCCCCGGGGGGCTGCTTTGGGTTTTTAAAGGACTTCACCCCTTTGGGAACCCCTGCGGCAAATCCCTGCCGCCTGCCAGAATGTGATTTTTTAACTAATATGCAGACACCTGACCTTAGTCTTTGCTAGGTAGCTCACAGGCTCGGTATCGGGAAGATATTTCGGGAAGATATTTGGGGACTCGCTAAGGGCACGGCCCAACCCGCACAGCAGCCGTTTCAGGGCGACGACAAGCTTTAGCAGCAGCAATAAGGTTTGATCAGTGCGATTCCTGCAAAAAACAAACAAAAAAGAAAACCCACAGGATTTGAACGGGAAAATTCCTAGCACCAGTAACACACGCGGGGAGCTTGCTGGGTGTGTGCAGATGCAGCTCTTTGAGCCTGTTCTGTGAAAGATTACGTCTTAAAAGGAAAAAAAAAAAGACAAGAAGAAGTGTTTGTAACATAGATTGTAATTTTCCATGTTATAGCATAGCCTCTTTGGCCAATGAAGTCGTGTTTCAAGTGCATTGTTTAAAGCTCCTGGCCGAACGGGATAACGGACTGACGTAGGACATTAGAGGATTGTAGCAGTGCTTTGACGGAGTTTATGGTTTTGATGTTCAAGAAATCCGAAAGAAGAGGATGGCCAAAAAAAGTAAAAAAAATAATAAAACAAAGCCTTCTGAAGCTCTGACCTGTAGTAGCAAAGCCTCCCTGTCACTTGCACAAGCGCAGAGGGCTGTGCGTGCCCCCGGGGAGGGGCTGCCGAAGGTGCCCCCACCGTTGCAGGCTGCCCTCTCCCCGGGCGGGCGAGAAGACTGCTGATTTGTACCCTCTCCATGACTTGATTGCACTAGAGCAGCTCAGTCTCAGGAAATTGCTTGTTACTTTTACTGTGTAAATAAAGCTTCCTGGTTCAATAACCCCCGGCCGGCGTCTTCCCTCTCTCTGTGCTCCCACAGCTGGGGTGGGGGGCTCTCTCGGGGGGTCGGTGCCGGGTATGGATGTCCCTACCCCGAGTTAGACCCCAAAATGGACATTTTGTGGTGCTGTGCATCCCAAAACAGGGGATCCTTTCCAGGAGAACATCCCCCTGGCTCCATGCAGGTGTCTCGGTTGTCATTCAGCTGCAGGGAGGCCCAAAAATGTGATGGTGAAACGCACCTGGAAGCTGGAGCAGGCACCTCATGCTCCGTGTTTAAGGTCAAGGATAACTGTCCCATCCCCTAAAATAAACCCTGAAAGATGGTCTGAGCGAGACCAGGAACCTGCAGCGGGGTAAAGGCACGTGGGGAACTCCCCGGGGAAATAGGGCAAGAGCCACCTCCAGCCTTCGTGCGCAGTAACGCCCTTTGTAGGGCCACGCTTCCTCCAGGGAGCAAACCATGTAAAAAGGCTCGGGACAGACGGCAGGATGTTTATCTGCCTAAATTTAATCCGATTGAAGCCACAGGCTTAGCATAACAGAATAAAAAGGATAAAATGCTCAGTGCCCCATCGCCGCCCTGATGTTGGACCGGGCTTTAAGGCGCCCTTCACGTGTGCGTGGACGCGCACAGCGCTGTAGTCTTTGGCTGAACCTCTGCTCGGAGGATGAAAGATACAAAAACAGCCCGAAGGACTGCACTAAGGTCATTTTCCCAGATGCAGTTCACTTTATTATAATTCGATTCCTATCCCACTGTCCCTTTCTGTCCCCACGGGGTGCAGCGCGGAGGATGAGCATCTCCAACGCGCCCGGCCGCAGCTCGCAGGCTCCTCCAGAAACTCAGAGCAACATTTCGGGGTCCTTCAGCGCCTGGGGCGGTCTCACGCTGCTCAGACGGTCGGAAACATGGCAGGAATTGCCATTCACCTCCTCGCAAACCCCAAAAGCAGGAGCCGAACGCAGCCAGAACAGGCTGCCCAAGCGATGTGTATGTGTGCACACGCACGCACAATTACGCACAGAGGTCCCACGGGAGGCCTGAAGCAGGTTAAAATTCCAGCGACCTCATTCCTTTCCACTCCACAGCACAAAGGCTGAGAACCAAGGGGGTGCAGGGCTGACAGGGGACTTCTGCCCCTAAAAGCGTGACCCGCAAAGGTGGACCAGGCACCCACGGGGGCAGGGGGTGCGAGGAAGCCATCCCAAATCTCTAATTCCTCTCTCCATTTTGAGCCCCCGCCCCTTCTTGCCAGGTGCAAAGTGTGCAGGTGCGAGCAGGCAGGCTGCAAAACTGTTGGAGAAAGGAGAAACAAATCCCCGGGCATCACTGCTCAGTGGCACATCCCCTCGGGCACGCCGAGACGTGGCCGAGCTGGGGGTGCAGGTGCCCCACGGACACACGGTGCTGGTGCAGGATGTGTCTGGAGCCAAGTGTGGGTCAGTGCCGACCAGGATTGGAACAGGAGAAGGCAGGAAACCTGCGTCCTGCTGAAACCTGCGTCTGCCTGCCAGGTTCCTTTGAAGGGAAGGAAAAGCCATCGGCCCCGTGTCCCCACCGGTGAGGTGCTGTGTGCCAGCTTGTTCCTAGGAAAGCATTTCAGGTCCCCTAGAAACCCCTGCTGGTGCTGAGCCAACTGAACACAGTACCACCAGGGCTAGCTTCACAGGACTGCGTTTATTACTGACACGAGGACACAATTATTCCATGGTTTGTCACAGCATTACTGAATTCCTGCTCTCTAACCCAGACAGCAGCTATAATCGGGGCAGAAACCCACCTGCCAGCCTGCCGAATGTGCCTGGAGCGCTCCCACAGCAGGGATTTGTGATGCCCGTACCTCTGTGGGAGTGCGCTGGCACCATGTTCATCTCCCCTACCCTCAAGGACATCTTCACCCTGCCTCAGGCACCCCAAAAGGCACAGAGCTGGTGGCAGCGCGATGTGCTCCATGTCCTCGATCCTATAACTCTGCCACCGCGCCGCTGCTACAGCTGGCTGAGGATAATGTCGACCGCTTCGGCCAGGTTGTTCACGTAGGCGTCGGGCTTCACCTGCGGGTGGTTTTCATCACAAGGCCTGCGGAGACAGAAGGGACAAGTGAGAGAGGGCAGACTCCCCGCCCTGTTTCTCTGAAATAGGTAAGGAAAAGAAGAATTCACTTCTGACCCAGAAACATGAGAGGTCTGAATGCAGTTTTAATGACCAGGAAGGCTCAGCTGGGGTTGAACGTTGCAGGATCACCACCTTCCTGTCAGCCTAGTGGTGGTGGTTCCCTCTGTGGCCACGAAAGGGGTCAGACTCACACCGCCATGCAAATCACAACCCCAAAGCAGAGCAGCTTGAAGCCACATTTGCAGCAATTTCAGATACCAGTGGCTGTGGGCACAGAGGCTCCGTCCCATTTAATGATTTGGCTGGGAGAGGAGAGGACACAGGAGGCAGCAACAGCCCCGATCAGCTCTTCCAGACCTCATGGCCCTCTTCTGGCTCTGGGGCTGAGAAAGCCAGCAGCTGCTGAACAGAAACCATATGCATTTTATATGCTTAATGGCTTTCCTCTGGGAAAGAGAGGAGAGCCCTCGTGTCCAGCTCCTATCTCTCTTGGTTCCTGTAAAGGGCAAAACTTTATTTAGCCAGGGCCGCTTTCTCAGCGAGGAAGACACGTTTCCCATCGGATGCATGGGAGCAGAGAGATGATGATTATTATTATTATTTACGATCTGCAGGATTTGTTGAGCACTTGTCTGTACAAGTACCAAGTTATTTCTGCAGTTCCAGCACTAAAGCTCCCCAGGGCTGTTTCCCTTCTGCTCATTTCTCAGCTGCGCTCCTCATTCCTGCCTCCACGAGCTCCTCACAAAGGCAGAGCCTCTCTCGGGAGCCCACGCTGCTCCAGATTTTGCTTGCTGGGAAGTTACAGCTAGGAACGAGCAAAGCCCCTGCTGGCCAGGCTTCTTTGTGTCACCTACAGAGTGGCTTCTGACACAGGGGAGGCAGATTTTGGTGCCAGCTGCTGTGAAAGCATTTTATTTAAAAGGTGGAAGGTTACGCCACGGGTCTTTATTTAATTCCCCAAGTTCTATCTTGTTACGAGTCCAGGGTGCAATATGAGCAGTAATTATGATGCTTTTTAATTTTTTTTTACAACCAAAGAAGAATTTGTATCGCAGAAAGTAAAGCAAGTTATAAAATGCAATGGAGAAAAACCTTGAAACATAAACAGAGTAAAAATCCAGTACATGCACAAGTTTCATGTGCCAATTATTGCTCACTCCCTGACTTAACCAAGAGTCTTTTATGAATACAGAAATTTTGGATATGGTAAAATACTCAATTCTTGGCAATAATCCTCTAATTTGAGTGGGGATCCAAAAAAACAGATAACGAACAAAACTTCTAATTCTACACACTGAAAAATGTTTCTTGCCTTGCTTATATGTTAAGAGGAAATTTTAAGATGTGCTTGAAAGGAAAGCTTCAAGAAATTGTCAGTGACACTGCACTCTTTGATCTATTAGCAGGGCTTTGCAGTTGGTATCTGTGCTAACGATGCCGAAATCCACCTGGAGCTCAGCTTGTAAATGCTGGTGAGCGAGGAGACGCGCTGCATACGCTGGTGTGCTGTGGAAGGGCTGGGTGTGGGTACACTGGACCTGAACAGAGCAAGCTGGGAAGTCAGGCTCAGGTGCTACAACACTTCTGACAAGTTCGCTGTGGATTCAGGCCAAGAAACTTGCAAACATTCCTGGTGCTAGGCACATCGTGGCCACCTTGGAGGGCTGCAGCCAGCCCACGGGTACCTCCTCCAGCCCAGCAGCATCCTGCTCCAGCCGTGGGCTGCATTGCCACCCGCTGCACCCCTGTTATTCCTCATACATACCCAATATGTACCTCTATATACCTAAATTGATGCCTGTTCTTCTACGTTACAGCCCCAAAAACAAACTTCCCCGCTCTCCTGCCTCTCCTGAGGCTGAGCCGAGGAGCTGGTCTTCCTCTCAGCGCTACCCCAGGAGCCGATCCTTGTGGCCACGGCCTTTGTCTTGCAGAGTGCTTTGTAACTCACAACTGCAACACATAGCCAAGAAACATTGTTTTTTTTTTCCCAAAAAAGGGGAAAAGAGTCAAAAGGACCCTGCAAGCAATAACCCCCAAGCACTAATGCTGAGACACAAGCGGCCAAATGAACCTGGGGCCTGTCAGAAATGTGGCACCAGAAGGCTGTGATGAGAAACCCCCTGGGCCTGGATGCGCCTTACAGGCCAGGGCCAGGCAGGAACTTCACCAAGAGCATATCCTTGCCCTCCTGCCTTCAGCTTGGTTCCTCGTTCAGTGATATTTTTTTATTTTGCCTTTATGAAAAGCTGCGCTAGGGCAGGCATCGCAACGGCAGGTGGCAAAACTGACGGTGAAGGTTATCGTCGAGCACTGTCCTCTTTCATATTCCAGAAACACAAGAACCTAAAAGAATTTTCATCTGCTAGGGAAATTGAAGAATAAACTCAAATCGAGCTAACTTGGAGATAAACTCCTTCTGGTTTCGTTTTACACGGGACTCTGGTTGCAGAGAAGAACATAAATCAAACTGACAGAAAATTATAATCTTGAGCTGGATATTGAGCTGTCAGCAATCTTGGCCAGGTGCACAAACTGCCTTGTGAAAAATCAGCTACAGCCTTGGGAAACCCTCTCCTCAGGGAAGCCCGGGCTCCTCGGGGCGGTGTAGCACCACGGCCTGGGCACACACACGTGGGACGTTTTGCAGCCCGGGCCCGTCATGACGGCCCCTGCTCTGGCTGTGAAATGAATTTTTGGCAGTGGATTTCTTCACGGACTCTCTGCGGCCACCCTGCTGGTGGAGGAGACGGTCAGGGAAAGTAGCGGCCTAGCACGGGCACTGCCCTGAAATCCGGGGTGGTTCCTCTGGTCAGGGCTGTGTGGTCATCCTATTCTCAAGCCACAGAGAGAAAACCTGTTGTGACGGGGCAGTTTCAGG